TATTATTTACACCAGTTAGTACCTAGTACCCATAAGATAAGCAAACTTAGGACTAGATGGCTCTATGTGAATTATCCTGTCATATGGTTATATTATGTTATTATGATTTGTGCGCGCTATTGTTAGAAACCATGTACGGATTTGAGTGCAGTTTCTACTAGTGTATTGTGGTAAACTACACTTAAAGTTTTGTGTTTGTTTTATAACAATCGGTTTGCAAACAAGAAAGTTATATAATTCGAAGCGGCAGTCCCAGCAACATGTGAATACTATTTCTTAATTTTAAATTTTTATTAGTTGCCAACCAATAAAACTGAATTAGATCCACATGAGATCAGCCAGTTCTTTGATAATAAGAATAACTATCATTTTCAGTACACAAACTGACATCAATTTTTTTTTCTATTGTTGTCAACAAATAATCATTATATAAGTATATAAATATACAAATAAAAAAAAGTAATGATGTAATTTCTAAACTTGATGAAAATGAGAATCATGCAATTCCCATAGCTAAGTATGGTTCTTTCACCCTCCTTCTCCCTAAGACAAAGCAATAATAATTGTTAAATTTAACAAAACATTCAGGCGAACAAATCCACAACCAGAAACTAGTCTGTTAATGACCTTTTATTAGATCATAACGGATCTCCAAATTACCTTCTACCTATTCGGAATCGCATGTTCCCTTTATGTGGAGCTATTACAGGGGTCTATCGGCCTTTATCTGGCCGAACTGACCATTTAAAGCACCCCTAGTTATCAGGGTTGTCCAAATTCGATTTATGTAAATACAAAAATCAATATTTTTTTCATCAAAGAAGTGGCATGTTGCATTTACTGTTAACAGCGCACGTTGGCGAGGAACCAATGAAGAATCATAGTATGAACATCAAATCAGATCAATTAGCCCATTATGGCGAATTCTCCATGACGTAACAATTATAGTTTCTGAGAGTTACCGTGTGGACTTTTCATGGAATAGTGTTCTATAGATATACATGCATACACCATTATGTTACATTGCTATATAATAGATAATTGGTCATTTGATATACTGAAATAACTTTTTATATATTTACAACGTGTACAATTAGCAAAAATTGCGCTGTTTTTATATGGTTCAAATTTCATTACATAAGGAAAACAATATAATGACAATGTAGTTCATCTACATTTCATATCATAAGAGTCTCTTATTAAAATTATAAACGAAAAAGTTTGTGAGTATGGATGAATAAATGGATGAACGTATGTTTGTCAGTCATGATGAAACTTTATAGTAATATAGCTTATACATTAGAATACAGTTACAGTTAGTGTAATCATAAAATCCAAGAGACTTCCACTCAATACTTAATAATATTTATAATTATTTATGGCATATATATAACTAAAACCTAAAAATAATTAACTCTTAAATATTTTATCTCTAAGGAATTAAATTAGTAAGTTAAGTTAGTAATTATACGAAATGGGTTTTCAGAAATTTTATAATATTTTATAATCTTACAAAATATTTTTATTGACAACCCTGCTTGTTTTATACAAAGATTATCTTGATAGAGACAGACAATATGGCAACCGAGTCATTTCTATTCAGTGCCGTTACAATCATTGGACACACTCTTAGTTTTTTTTATGTTTATTAACACAAGCTCAACTGACATTTATGTAACCTGTCCGCAAACTTGTTAATGCTGTCTCGTAGTCTTAGGAGAAAGTCCTTAACAAGCGAAATTACTAAAATAGATGGTATAGAGTAAAAATCCCATGATTACCTCATAATGTTTATTATTTAATAACTTAAACTGAATATACCACAGTATATCATTTTACATTTTACTTCTGATCGCGGATCTATTCCTATAAGTACTATATAATTTATATGTATTTAATATAAAAAAAACGATGGTATAAGCGTTACTCAGTTTTAGATTATAAGGGAGTGTATGAATGATCTTATAATTTTTATTACTATACTGCATCTGCATCTGCACTGATTTTTATTCCATTTTTAGGCCTTTTCAGATATTTTAGATAAAAATAACCTATAATGATCTACATATATGACGGCCTCGGTTGTCTGGCGGTTTAGTTTACCGCTTTACTTCGCGGGTTCGATTCCTCGCACGGTGGAAATATTTGTATTTACTAGTATGACTATCTGGGTGTTTTCTAAGTATATTATGTGTGTATTTATAAAAAAAAATCTAAGTAGTTTCATCAGTTGTCTAGTACCCATAAAACAAGCTTTTAAGCTTACAGTGGCGCTACATGACACTGTGTTAATTGTCCATGGCTATTTATTTATTAGTATCTATTATAATCTATCTTTATGACCAATTTCATTCAATTTGATTTGTTGTAAAAAAGTAAAAACAAACATTCAGATAGATACTTTCGCATTTAAGACATTGGTATGGCTGAATAGAAACATAACTGACTAACTAAATCCATGTATGGTAGATATTTTGTATTGACTGCAATGCATACATAGACATTATTAGTATTAGAATAATCCTGTGTCCTTTGACTAGACCAATTTATGTTAAATTGTAGATAGAAACCAAACTACGTGATGGGAATGTTACCACTTTACAGACCATTCATCCTAGTTCTATCAATTGCAATAAAGGAATATATAGTTACTTGTTGAAAATGGAGCAAGTGGTTTATGTTTATGATATATAGGGATTTAATACGTAATATTAATAAATATAGTGCAGTACAATAGTAAAATGTGCGTATAATTGGTAAACAAACGCAAAATATGCGTATAATTGGTAAATGTAAAAGGCTCACCTCGTCGTCGATTAAATAGAAAAATGACATTTTTCAAAATTAGAAACTAGAATTGCCCCCTTGCCAGATATAAATTTAATAACCATAGTTCCAATAGGATATTAGTATTAAAAATATTTAATATGTCAAAGTAATCATATAAATAGTGATTATAATATAACGTAAAGCAAAAACTTTTTCAAAAATGTTTGCTTTACGTAATATTATTAGGCTGAAAGGTACACGTAAAATTTATATAGAAATAATTGCAAAAAGCTTATATATTATTTGTATTAAAATATATTAAATTGACAATAATATTACTCAAAGTATACACTATTATATACGAAGCATTTGACACACACACACACGCACATTAACATATAATATAATGTTTGAGAATAGAACTTTAATAAAGAGCTTAAAATTATTACAGTCGAATTTTGATCGTTAGGTTTAAGCAAATATATATACTTCTCATAGAAAATAACAAACTAAATTCTTTATACAGGAGAGAGTTTCCTAAGATTTATGTATATTATTTTTCACTTTGTCACTTTCTTGTCTTGTTATTGAACTAATTCTTAAATCTTTCCTCTTTACACAATAAGAGCACGTCTTGCGTGAAAATGATAGATTTCCGTACCCAATCACGAAAGATTTTCATCGCTCATTGTGTCAATTTGGTACGACACTATAGTCAGGCCTGTACAAGTTACAGTCGGTTAAGGAGAGATTGATTATACATATATAGGTATACATGTGTACATTTGTAAAACGACTATCCTTTGCTGAAAATCATATATTTTTTACTTCCGAAAAACATATTATTAAATATTCTTGTATACTCTTAAAAATGTAGGTACATAATATGTATAGTAAGTAAAATGAATAATACCGAAGACATCCTAACCCCGGTGACATAACAAAACGTCAGCACAGTACGAACTTAATGTTCTGTTGAAAACATTTGCATTTTTTTAACGAATTATTCAAATTTAATGTGATGACACTATGGCTCAAATTTACCATAGAGATTACCATACAGTAATATTGACTACAACATAAACAGCCAATTATAAATATCCGGTAATTTTTTTTAATTTTTGGCAGACCTTAAAGAGAATAAAAAATCTGTTTCTGGAGAGTATTAGGTCATTTTACTAATTCATGAAAAATATTCTATCTATATTAGCTTTAACATTCGAAATAGTTGAAAGTTTTATATTCTAATATTTATTTCAAATTCTAGATTCGTTTCCAATGTTCCGGCTTTAAATAGGTAGGTAGGTATAAGCTGATATGTTTGTTTTTTTTATAGACTATTTTTGATGAATATATCTTTGTTTCCAATTATTCATTATCAAACTTTGAAATAACTTTGTTTAACCCTATGCAATTACTGTCTATATCCTACGATTATACAATATATAGGTACGTGGAATTAAAAATACCTAAGTATAGTAGGGAAAGAGTTTGTACAATCGTCTGTTTAGATATATAACCCTCTGGAGATGCAATAGCATGTATGCGTCGCGATGTATTTTATGATGTCTGAGGTAATGTTTATCTAGACATCACAAGGTAGACTTCAAGAAAGTAAAAAGTCGAAAAGTCGCATGTGTGGGTACCTTAGTCCCATCTATTTCAGCGGCCAAACCTTTAGTTGTTTCGATTGAAGGATAATAATAATGTAGTGAAATTGCAGGATTTGGAAAAATAATATTATAGACATCCAGAATGTCAACGCATGGTATCACGGTCTTGACATGATGATGTGTATATATTCTTACATTAGATTACCCTTCTTACATAAAAATATTATAACACACATAATTAATATCAATGTCTATGATGCTGTGTTCATGTGTATAGACAACAGTTACCGCTTACGAGTAATTACATAAAAAAAATAGACAGAGTCCACCGACTATCAGCTTGTTTACCATAATAATAAAATACGATTACTTTAACGAAATAGGAATTAAATAAAATATCTGTACCTTGTTACATATGATGTAATAGATAATAACAAAAATTCAATGAAACCGAGTAAGATAGCCACGCTTATCAAATTAACATCATGCTCTTATAAATTGAGAGATATTTTATCATTTCATATTTGGCCCTCGTCCGCGTTATCCGGTGTTATCGTTCACTCGATTGTGACCTCATTTTCAATTCATTCACTCTGTAACCAAAGCGACTTTCTTCGGCCGTCACATTGTACGTTCGGTAGTGTCAGCACTCAGTACGCATGCGCGATTAATGTCAAGCAGTGAAACGCGTTCTCACGTCGCGTATAACCTCTATATATATTCTATTAAAATATATTTCTAGTTATTAAATAAAAATGGTTGCATTTACACCGTTAGAAAAAATTGCGATAGCGTTATTGACATTATTATTGTTATATATTGTGATAAAAATATGGAAAGTGTTGTACGTTTTTGTAATTGGGCCTGCGGTTAATCGTGTAGACTTCAAATCACAGGGAAAATGGGCAAGTAAGTGTGTATATAATATTTATTAATGTTTTAATGTTATATTTTTTAATAACATCGATATAATGTCATAAAATATTGAGGAAGATGCGTTGGGCACATCGTAAACACAATGTTATCTAGTAGTAGGTATCTACATAATACAGTTAAAATTTTACTTTCATTTCCTCATAAACTACTTTTAGTAATACCGTGGCACTATGAATGGTGTTATTAAATGTTAATCTGCTGAATTTAAATCAAAATAATAATAAGAGAATATTTTTATATTCATTCATAGATAATATCCGTATACCTTCTTTTATTTGTATACATATTACTTTTTACTTCGATAACTTAGTTTTGTAAATATTTTTAATGGGTGTTAATGGAATGGTGCTCCCGCTAATAGTATACGGTTTTTACTTCTATTACTTGCAAAATTTTAAAGTAGCATACCATGTCATGACGGATGGTAGGATGAACATGAAGTTAAATAATTTAGCCCATTATGATGAATTCACCAACGATGATTTCCAGGGGGGACCGCGTGGAGGTCGAGCTAATGTGATACTTTGCTATAATGGCCATAATATTCCACGTTAAAAACAATCCCCTCGCCTCTCAAGATAAATTAGTTAAAACATATAAATGTATATAATGTATACCTATTACATAAGGCCTTCAGTAAGGTGGACCGACGCGACGATCTGGTCAAGATCGCTGGAAGGCATTGGATGTGATCGGCGCAGGACCGATTTTAGTGGAGATCTTTGGGAGAAGCCTTTGTTCAGCAGTGGACGCCTTCCGGGCTGATGATGATGATGATGATGATGACATAATAATTAGTACTAGGTGTTTTGTATAGTTTTAAACTCCATATAAATGTTTCAAAGGTATGTGGACATAAATAATAATAAAAAAACAAATGCCTATATTATATATTGAATGAGGGTATATCGTAAGTAGGTTATTCGTTTTCAATTGAAAAAAATAAGAATATTTAATTTTATTTTTGGTTAAGATTCGAGACACAAACAACATACACATGTATCTATTTCTAAGCACTGCGATATCTTTAAGTACCACGATATGTACTGATAGTACGTAATCATTTACAAAAATATTATACCCATATTGCCATACCTAAACAAATTCACAAATACTATCAATACTTACAACGTATCGTTATGTTAAAATAAATTTTCCATCTATATAATAGAAATAGAAATAATCTTTATTCAAATAAACTTAATATAAGTACTTTTGGATAAAAATAAAGTAATATTATAAATGCGGAAGTGAGTTTATTTGTTAATCTTTCACACATCGCTACAAGAAGCTCTAACTGACCTGACTTCATTCTCATTTCATCATCAAACACTGGCCCGCCAACGTATACCGTTAGCACAGACGAGTGCATCCCACTATTATTCACTGAAAAAATCTATCACGCCATAATGGCTTAATTAATTATCATGAAATTTAGTAATAGAAACTAGTATTAGGAATGGAAACCTACCTTTTATCCTAATCAAGAATGGTCACGTGGAGAAAGTCACGCGCGGTCTGAATTCAATAATATCTATACCTACTAATATTATAAAGAGGTAAAATTTGTGAGTTTGAATGTTTGGAGTTATCATCGGTGTTACATACCCGATTTTGAAATTTCTCTTAGTGTTAAATAGTCCATTTATTTAGGAATGTTTTAAGCTATATAATACTATCATACTACGATCACTAGGAGCAGAGCTGCAATCATAAATGTTTTTGCACGGGGAAAATGTGGCGCAGAGGATGTTGCGCGGGTCAACTAGTTATACATAAGTGTGAAAGTGAGTTTGTTTTTTGTTGCTTCAAAACACCTTATCTGCTATACTAATCGTCATCGTCATCATAAAATATGATTTTAGCAACACTCAAAACTGGTCTGTCTGAATGACGCATCCTATTAGACATAGTCATTAATTTTCCATACAATAATGTTTCGTGAAATTTTAAAGGTGATTAGAATTTGCAACCGACAGCAATTAAGTAATGTGAATATTTCTTCATTCCTTCATTGCAATTGTCATTAATATTTTTATTTAGTCATCTATACAAAATATTTTAAACCTTATTCATGGTTGTTTTTAATTGTACACATCTGTACCCATATTTAAAGAGGTTAAGTTTGAGTGTAGTTAGAATAATCTCCAGTTATATAGCCCATTTATCCAGGAAGGCTATAGATTATATAACATCACGCTTCAACCAATAGGAGCAATTAAAATTGCAAAAACAAGGAAAATGGGACGCAAAATTTCGCGAATCAGCTTACAGCATATAGGTGTACGGGATATTTATAGTGATAATATTATTTATGAGCTCCCGATATTTTGACGTTGTTGCAAACGACGTTATCGGAAGGTCATTAATAATATTATCGTGGTAAATATACATATGTATCTAAAACTGTTGAATATACCTATAAATTAGTTACTGAACTGTTAAATTATCACATGCATCAAATTCCAAGAGTAATATAAATGTAATTGCATCGTATATTATAGTTTTGCTTGCGTGGAACAATTTTGATGTATTTTGTAATATGATTTATAATATATAGCAGAAATTGTTTTACTTCCCAGAATTTTTAAATTGTCCAATTGACATAAATAATAACATACTTTATCGTAACAATCCACTGCCGTCCGTCTACTGGGCACTGATATCTGTTCGTATTGATAGTTGTGATCTAATAATTCTTACCTCGAGCGACGTTATAGGGTTGTGAGTTCAAATAACTTTTAATATTTTGGATTTACTCACTGGGTAACAAGTACAATTACGCCAATAACAAAATAATGACGGCGTAGGTTCTTTAAAGGAATTTTGGCGACAAAAATATTTAAATCATAACAAAAATATATAAATCAATAAAAAAAACACTTCAAATAAAAGTGTCTAGAAACCCGTTTATTGTTTCATTAATATTAGGAATTTATTTGCTATAAACTTAGCTTGGATTTTATCGTAAAGATAAATGAGGTAGCATATATATATATATATAGGGTAAACAGTATAGTGATTGCCCATTTAAGGAAATTATACTGGTTTTATATGTATATAAATGTTAATTAAAATAATAGGTAAGTGAGTGTCACCTCTTTGGTAACATTAATAGTTTAGCTAAGAGATCCAGTAGTAACAATTTAAATATCTTAAGAAAACTAATAATTACAAGCTTTAACAAAAATAACCTCTAAAAGTATAGTGATTGCCCGGACCAGATAGTCATTGCCTCACGCATCACATAGTTATTGCCCACATAGCATTAACTGCTATAGTTACTAAATCTAGTTAAAAACATACCATGTAAACATTAATTCTTATTGTTTAGGAATGTTGACTAACATTAATCGTTAAAGCAAAACAATGTCTCAAGTTTTAAAGACCTTATTTATTATTTGAGATCTTTTATAGCTTTCTGTATGTTAGTATACATTTCTAAACAATCAGAATCAGTGTCTTTAGCAGAATAAGAATCATCTACTTTATAGTAAAAATGACACAAAAACAAAAGAATATCTAATTCATCTGGCATGTGGTTTTTGTAATGTTCAGGAATACATTTTGAATAAAATTAATGGCATTAATTTTATTTTTAAAAATTGTCTGCTTGCATACTACACAAACATACCCAGCGTGCAAAAATAGTTTCTTCTTTTCTTTTCTTTCAGATTCTCCTTATATGATTGCCTTTATAGTAAAGCTAACTTGAATACGTCTGATGTAATAGCAAATGGTTGTCCTTCTGATGACAGACAGAAAGATAACCATTTGCTATTACATCATTTCCTTTTATTACCGGAGTTACAGGGTATGCTAAATAGTCCCAAAAAGATGAGTTAACTTTTTGCTTACTACACTTATAAAAGATTTGGGGAACAAATGGACTACAAATAATACCAGCAGCCGAGAAAGTAAATAAAATGACTATTGATTATTTTCCATTTGAATGTTCAATATTATAAACGTTTCTAGAACCATTTTCAGCTACAACTAGTCCTGCACACTGGCAAATATGAAAATTTGTCTCATCTATATTGAAAACTTGACTTAAGACTTGGCTTATTACTTTTTCATCGACATAGCAATATTTCATGGAACCTAAATCTTTTTCAGATACACATGAGCTTGATTTTGTTCGAACACCTTCAAAACTCCGTATACTTAATTTTGGATGTCTCTTTAAAAATACTTTCCACTATCCAATGTCAGGCCTATTATTCACGAATGGATTAGGTCTTGGATTTTCCTCTAGAAATTTTTGAACACTGTTCAAAATATTTTCTTTATGCCTTGGAAAACCTTTTCGTGCTGAAGTTGTTATCCTGTCTTCAAGAATAGCTTCTTCTTTAGCAGTTAAAATTGGCACTGAACCCAAGCTGATTTTGTGTCCTGAATTATGTTAAAATATCAGCGTTATCCTAGGAATTCCATATTTTTGAGCTATTTGTCGATCTGAAAACCTGTCTTTGTTATTTTGGATTTCGATGATTGCCCTCTTTAGGTCTTCCCGTTTGTATTTTAACTTGGTAACCTTCGGTATTCTATAAAGAACTAGATAATACTACTACGTAAATGTATTTAACAAAAATAAACTTATTTTAATAGAAATTGCCCGGGCAATAGCTGTACCCAATGCCAATGGCAATAACTAAATACTGATATGGCAATCACTAAAATTCATCTAAATAAGATTTAGTAATTGCCCACCCCATCTAACTCCTTAAGAGGTAAATTTTACATCACAATAACTTCTTGAAATTACACTATAAAGCATTTACTAACTTATTCTCTATAGCAATAAGTTTAAAACGAGCTAAGTTAACACAAGAAATTAAAACAAAAAGTGTATCCTTAAGAAATTCTTTAAGAAACCTACTTTTTCCGATAAGAGGCATACCTGTTGTCAACAAATATGCCATAACACTATGTTTTTCTTTAAATTTTGCCAATTTATTATTAAACGTTCT